GTTTTAAGCGTTAAATTAAAAACAGGTAAAGTGCTAATGAACGTCTAATATCCTCAGGCAGATTCATGGTCACCCTTAGTTACCACCCTTAGTTACCACCCTTAGTTACCAGCCTTAGTTACCAGCCTTAGTTACCAGCCTCGATTCAGGAATTATTGATTGGAAGATCTCAGATCACGGTTTGGACCATTGGGCGTTAATGACTGGTAATTTAAACGGGGGCCGGACCGTGCAGAACTTTAAATGTTCATTTTAATAAATCACTGCATCGTCATCATGTAGAAAAACAGGAGAAAGGAAAAATGAAACTGTCGCGACCCGGCTCAGAAGCCGTGACAAAAGAGAAGGAGACGCTTCTCTTGAATAACTCAGGTGGGGCCCAGGTGCCTCGAACAGGGACAGGTTAACTCAGGTCACATCCCCGTCACAAAACAAACGAGTAAAAACCTCAAACATCTGTTGCTGATGGTGTCACTTTGCTTTCTGACTCTTCTCCAAACAGAGGATACAACCGTGACTTGGCCGTCATATATTCACCGACGGATTCAGACGATCTGGACATAAAGAATTATCACGCGTGGATCGGCCTGTTCAGAGAAAGGAACAACTATTCTACTTGGGGTAACTGGATTTGGTCGAACGGAGATGGAACCAACTTCAATGCCTGGGCACATTGGGAACCTTCCTGGACAGATGGTTGTGTCCATGTGGATTCCCACGTGATCTCCAGGTGTTGTGTTTTCTCACTGAACAGTTTCTATGCATGTGGAGGTTTGTTCAGTCCTGATTCATTAAAGGTTCAGTGTGTAAGATTTAGGTGAAAGGATTTATTGGCAGAAAGTGAATATAGAATAATCCTGGTGATGTTTTCACAAGTGTTTCATCTAAATTGTACAAATTGTTGTTTTTCTTCATCCTAAAACGGCTGCTTTATATTTAAATACTTTATATTGAGATACTTTATATTGAAATACTTATATATTTACATCAGGAGCCGGTCCTCTCTATGGAGGCAGCCATGTTTTTTTTACAGTAGTAACACAGTAGATGACAGCTGCTGATCTCTGTCATGGCAACAACATTCAAAGAATCACTTTTCTCTTTATCAGGTTTTCTGAAAACTAAAAGCACAACGTTGGTTTGTTGCTTTATATCAAGTTAAAGAGAGTTTAGTTTGATTTGATGAAAAACACTGACTATGAAATCTTCAGTGCAGATAAACCAGGTAGGATGAACTCAAAAGTTAAAATCACAGATTTACAATGGGCACTGAGCTTGTTTCCAATAATATGAGTCATTATTTTATTGTTTCTTCACTAGATTAGTTTCGTCACATTTAGGAGTTTTATCGTTTATGATTAGACTGAAGTAGCTTTCTTGAAATCAAACAATTTTTTTCTTCTCCTTCACATCGATAATCTCTCTGTTTTTATTCATATTGGCCTAAAGAAATACGAGGTTCACAGAGATGAGAAGTTGAGTCACGCTGTCGTGTGCAACATAAAACCAGATCGAAGGAATAAAAGAATAAAGTGATTGAATTTCTTCACTGTAACTCAGTCGTTGTTGTTTTTTCTCTTCACAGGGTTTACGGAAGCGATTGTGGCCACTATTTTTTCTTCATCTGTCACAAGGGCTACCATGGCCATTACCATTACACGTTCATACCTCAGTCCAAGACGTGGTCGGAGGCCCAGACGTACTGCAGGGATGTTTTCGACGACCTGTCAACTTTCAAAAAGGGCTCCGACCTGAAGAAGGCTGTTCTTCCACAGGACTTCCCCGTCTGGACGGGACTGCACAGAGACGGTAAAACTCAAACCAGCCACGTCTGCATGAACTCTTCTTAAGTGCATGAACTCATCCACTGGTGAGTTGTCTTTCTTTTGTTTTAAAAACAATAACTCACAGAATAATAAACCAACGAAAGAGGAAAAACAGGAGTAAAATAAACGTTTGATTCAATAAACTAAATTCTAATAAACCAATGGCTGTCATCTCTCCTTCCATTTAAAAGCCTGATGCACTTATAAAACAGCAGATTGATATTTTAACAGCTTCATTTGATAATCGCTCCATCGTTGAGCACATTCTGCCCCCGCCTATGAAAACACATATCCAACTGATAATCCGTCTTTAAAACCACAGTGAAACACGTCACTGATGACTACAAATCAAGCGTACGTTCACTTCCTGTCGCCCTACGGTAGCCATGTGTCAGCACACCTGACCACGCCCATGTGTGCTCAGGTGGACGCACACACATTTTGTTATTCGGACGTTAAACGCTCTGGACAAGATGATGACGTAAAGCTTGTCTGGTTGAGCAAAGAGCCCAGCGCCTTCAAGTCGGTCACTTTTACTTCCTGAATAAAAGGTTTGAAAATCCTTGAGGACTCAACTAGATGAGAAAAGTGTTGAGGTGAATATATTTATTTATTTCAACTCTGAGGCAGCAACTGTTTTTCTGTTCATCCATTTTATAACAACAAATAAACATGCAGATGTTCACCTTCCCCCATCTGTCCTGCAGGGGGAGCATGGGTGTGGAGCAGAGGCTTGTCAGAGTACAGAAATTGGTCTGAAGCTGAGCCGAGCGACGACAACGGCGACTGTGTCTCCATCTCCTCTCTGGGTAAACAGATGTCCGCCCGAAACTGCGCCACCCGCTTCCCCTTCCTGTGCTACTGGGACAACCTGGTCCTGGTGAAGGAGAACAAGACGTGGGAGGAGGCGCTGGAACACTGCAGAGCGCTCAGGGGGGGAAACCAGAACCACGAGCTGTTGAGCGTGCAGCCTGGAGAGGAGCACAGCTACGTGATGAGGAGGGTCATGGAGGCCAACAGCGACGAGGTGGGTCTCAGCAACATGGTTCTGTGAGCTGGAAACAGCCGTCGGACCACGACGAGATATTATTCTTTACTTCAATGGTTTTAAAATCAGCTCCATCGGTTGTCTCTTGTCCTCAGGTGTGGACAGGCCTTCGATTCCTGGCCGGTGATTGGTTGTGGGTGAACGGGGCAGAGTTGTTGTACTCTGGCCTGCCCGTCTGCCCCCTGGAGCAGCAGCACTGCGGAACCTTATCCAAGAATGACACGGGCAACGTCAGGATCCGAGACTGTTCAGAGACAAGGAACTTCCTCTGTTACTTTTAAAGACCATCAACACTTCCCACAATGTTCTGCTTCTGCCGTCTCTGTTCACATGACACAGTTTGAGTGTTTGGTCTTTAGATGCTAGATGTTATACGACATTTAAGACTTTGATAAAACTTAACGAGTGATTCTGTCATAGATCATGTTCTGCTCATTAAAACCAACACGTCAGCTGCGATTAAAACTGTTTGTGCATCGTTACTTTAGAAAAACCCTTAAAAAAATAAATCTTACAGCCGACCCCATCCTGACGTCACCCGCTGGTTTGTGAGCTCCAGTTTGACATCTTGTCCAGCGCCATCTTGGTTTTCTTTAAACCAGAAGTCACCATATTTGGAGGAGCGAGGGGTGGAGCCTGACGGGGAGCTTGAGGGCATGAAACGCCCACCCATTGGACGGTAAGAGCTGTCAATCAAACTGTATCTATGATACCCTAAAGCACACGGTGCTTAATGGTCTATTTGACTGTAAATACTAGAGAATAATAATAATAATAGATATTTACTGACGTTAGAATCTGCGTTCTTATCAGCTTTTTAATTTATCTGCAGTCATTTGCAGACAGCCGGTAATCGAGGTTAATCAAAATGGAAGGTTGCATGAAAGAGGAACCAGCTGAGATAAAAAAAACAAACGTTAAATAGTTTATAGTTGGTTGGTTTAAAACTGAGCTGTTTGTTTGAGCTCAGTAGAGATGGAGGCAGGGAATAACACTCAGCTCACACCGTGTTGTAATGGAAACACTGGACATGATACTGTTTGTCTGTCAGTGATCGTTGCTGTGTACATCACTGCAGACACACACACACACACACACACACACACTCTCTTACACAAGGCGTTGGGATTCCACTGCTGCTATCTTGGGAGTGAAACGTCTGGGACGAAAGAGAAGATCTCACTCTCTAACTCTGGAAGCAGATAACTCTAAATTAAAAGAAGCTCAGATCTGTTCCGTATTAAAAACTGAACGAAGGATCAGGAGTTAGTTGAGACTCGATGTTCCTGTTTTTAAACATCTGACTCCTGAGTGTGTTTAATGAAACTGGCTGAGGAATGTTTCACAGATGTGTCATGGGGACGTTTCCAGAAGAGTGTGTGTGTGTGTGTGTGTGTG